AAGTCCCCGTTACAAAAAAATCATTGACGTAGATAGCTATGATGAGAAGATCCCCCTTCTCTGTCTTTTGATATACTGCAGGTTCCTTGCTGCACTTCGTGAACTCCATCTCCTTGAGGACACGATCAAGCTTGATGTTTCAAGCCCTCGGACTTTGTCGTAAACCGTATAATGCTTTGTTGAGTTTGTACACGTGATGGTCCTTCCCTTTCTCCACAAAGCCTTCTGGTTGAGTCACGTTTACATCCTCGTTTAAATCTCCGTTCAGGAACGCAGTTTTCACAGCCAAGTGATGGATCTCCCATCCATTACTTGCTGCCAAAGCCAGAACTAGACGTATGGTTTCTATTCGGGCCACTGGTGCAAATACTTCTTCGAAGTCTATGCCTTGTTTTGGCACATAACCTTTTACGACTAGCCTTGCTTTGTATTTAATCATCATTCCATCAGCATTCCTCTTGATCTTGTAGACCCACTTCAAACCAATCGGGTTCACACCTGTCATCTTCTTAACGAGCTTCCAGGTCTTGTTTTGATGATAGATTCGATCTCTGCCGTCATCACATCGATCCAGGCTTGTATCGATGCAGCTTCGATATAAATTTCTGGTTCACCATCAATGGGTGAGAAGGAGTCTACCACCTTCGACATCAGTGAGTAAGATGTAATCCTCGAACCCTTTGGTTTTCTGATGTTACGAACATATCTTGATGTAACATTCTGGTCTTGGTTTGCATCGTTATTCTCTGCTACTTGCTCTTGTTCACCTGCGTCTACAGCTTCTTCTTATTCGTTAGTGTTTTGCTCTTCGTGGTGTTGGTGATCTTGATGCTCATCACCATCTTCTTCTTCTGTAACATTGATATCAGGAAGGCTGAAAGTTCCTGCTTCATCGTTTGTAGTCATTGTTGTTGTAGACCAATCCCAACTCTTATTCTCATCGAAGATTACATCTCTACTAACAATAATCTTGTTCGTGACAGGATCGTAGAGCCTATAAGCTTTTGAACCAGGCTCTGTCCCAAGATTGATCACCATCCTTGATCGATCATCGAGCTTTTTGAGATGTGGAGCATTGATTTTTGTGAATGCTACACACCCAAAGACTCTTAGATGCGCAATGCTCGGCTTCCTAACATATAGGCCTTCGTATGGAGTTTTGTTTTCCAAAGCCTTTGTAGCAATGCTGTTGATAAGATGCGTCGAATGAAGCACTGCTTCACCCCATAGTTGATTAGGAAGCTTCATTGCTTTCATCAAGCTCCTTGTCATCTCCATTAGTGTTATGTTTGTTCTATTGACCACACCGTTTTGTTTCGGCGTATACGGTGCGGTGAGATGTCTTGTTACACCGTTTTCTTCACAAAACGAATGAACTCAGAATATGTGAACTCTCCTCCTCTATCAGTGCGAAAAGTCTTGAGTTTTATCTTTGTTTGATTCACCGGATACTCCTTGAAATTTTTGAACCGATCGAACGCTTCACTCTTCTCTCTTAGAAGCATCGTCCACATATATCTTGAGTAATCATCAATTAAGACGAATACATATCTATTTTTTGATGGTGTTGGTGGTGATATCGGATCGCACAAGTCACCATGTACCAACTTCAATGCGTGTGATGCTTGATACTTTGCTTTAGGTGGGAAAGACTTCCGATTTTGCTTCCCAACTAAGCAGGCGCTGCACACATCTTTCTCGTTATCACCTGAGGCATCCCTGCCACGATCTCCTTTCTACCATATTCTTCATGATTCCAAAGTTCATATGTCCGAGCCGCGCATGCCACGTCCATGTAAAATTGTTTTCTTGTATTTGAAGACACTTCGAATATTCAATCTCCAATGGTGTCTTGTACAATCAGTTTGGTTATCTCGAGACTTGTACTAATAGCCTTCCACAGGGATCACTTAGCATTAGCAAGTCTCCTTTCATGTTAACCTCACAACTCTTCTCGGTTTCTTTTCCAAGACTTATGATGTTGTGTTTAAGACTAGGAATGTAGTAGATGTCTTTGAGTACTCTTCTCTACCCTGTTTTTTCGATGACTGTGATTGAACCTTTCCCAAAAATCTCGACGTTTGATCCATCACCAAATCTGAATTTTCCTTTGATGCGCTCATCTAGGTTTGAGAAGAACTCTCTCTTGCATGTCATATAGTTACTTGCACCATTGTCAAGATACCATATACTCGTGTTTCCATCACATTCGTCAAATCTTTTAGGAAACACTCTATCTTCGTTGAGGAATACTACTTCGTGCATATATAATGCATATGCTTCTTGTGTTTCCGTTAGGTTTGTTTCTTCTCTTGGTCGTGTAGGACAATGTGACACGAAGTGTCCCGGCTTGTCGCATCGTCAGCATTTAACCTTAGAGTAGTCCTTCTTGGTCTTGTTCGAAACTTCTCCTCCTTTGTTATGACCATCAGAACCATTAGACCTTCCACGTCCTCTTCCTCTTCCACTATAACCCCTACATATGCCTCTTCCTCGTGAGTTGTTGTGGCTTCCACGACCTTGCGTAACATTCTTCACAAACATTAGCTTCGATTGATCTTCATCTTGGGTTTCTTTTTTGATGCGCTCTTCGAAAATCTTTATTCTCCCAACGACATCTCCGAAGCTTGCTGAATTTAAATCAAGTAGTTGTTCTAGAGAAGCTATGATGTGTATGAACTTATTTGTAGGAAGTCTATCTAAAAACTTCTTTACCAGCCTTGATACATCCATTATTTTACTTAATGCCGCTGACTTTGATGCTACACCCGATAGTTTTCATGTATAATCATCCACCGTTTCTGCATCTGTCATCCTTAGTTTATCAAGCTCAAACATCAAGGTCTGTAACCTCGCTTCTCTCACGTGATCATCACCTAGGTTACGTGATTTGATAGCATCCCAAATCGTCTTTGATGTATCATGTTCTCCAATTGGAAGAATCAACGCTTCTGGAATCGATTGAAAGATTAGAGCAATCTTAACATTGTTCTTCTTCAAATCGATGTTCCCTGGTTCGATAGTATCCCAAACTTCATATAAACGAAGGATAACTTTCATTCTTATCGACCATACGGTGTATTTGGTCGATGTTAGCATTGGACATTGTATGTTCTTCTTCATCTCAAGATCTTTATCATGTACTTGAGAAGCGACATCGTCTCTCATATTTTGATCAAATTATAACTCCTCTTGTAAACGATTTTGAAACCTGGAGGCTCTGATACCAATTAAAGTTGCAAGAACACACAAATATATAAGAACTAGCACTTTTTATTAGAGTTAGAAACTCTCTCAAAACTAAATCAATGTGTTTCTCTTAAGGAAGACAACATCTTTACAATTCCTTATATAGATGAACCTACATCTTAACCTAATAATAAAATGGAAACATTAAATTTTATTTTAATAAGTTAACTTTTTCTTTAAGTTAATTGGAATTATCCAACAATTGAAGTTAATAAAGTAACTAATCATTAGATCGGATCTTTGGAGCCGTTGTCTATGCTTAATTTAACTTCATTTTATCTCAAGGAAATCAGAAGCTCTAATCCATGATCAAGTCATATCGAATCTGCTCGGCCGCCAGTCCTTAGAGGGGTGGAAAGATCTCCAGGATATGACTACCGGAGACGTGGATGTGCTTTGGTTGGATGGGTGATAAAGATTGAAGGTGGGTGAGGAAGGCGAATAATAAATGCAGCTTCAGTGAGTATCAGCTTTATGGTGAGGTTTTAAGTTTATGTATCGACGGAGAAGATAAAGACATGAGGTGCTTTGTAAAAGAACCCCTTATGCTCTTGGGAAATCGGAACTCATAAGAGCATGGTCAATACACGTGTTTTGAAAATGCCATCTTTGGACATGCAGAGGAGAAGCTCACCTTTTAAAATTAGGTTTATTTGAATTAAATTAAACTCTCTTGTCTTTTTATGTTGGGTCTCTTTATTAAAAGTCTGATTCTTATAATGTATTCTCTCCATTTCAATTTATATGTTGTTGTAGAGTAAAATTTTTATTTCCAAATAAGTGTGGTTTTATAATTTCACATAAAAAATTATTAATTTTATATGTTATTCTATATTTTATTAGTTGAAATATGGTTAGGCGTATAGGTAATGGTGTTTTTATCTAGAGAATATGTAAAATTAAATGTTTTCTTAAACTGTGTACAAAAATCAAAAACGATAAATAAAGTGAAAGGGAAAAAGTGTATCTTTTGAGATTTCATTTCAATGAAATGAATTGTCGAAAAAAAAATACGCTTATTCAAAAGATAGACCTAATCATTAAAGATATGTTTATTGGAGGTTCTTAGAGTGATGTTTTTAATTCATCATTTGACATTTTTTATATATTTTTTGACTAAGAATTAACTCTTATATCTTTTATTTAATAATTTTACTTAGCTTGTCTTAGTTAAAAACTAAGAGAGGGATGTTAATCGAAACTAAGAAAATCATCCTAAAAACCTCTAATATACATGGTCTAAGTAGATGAGAGTCGTGCTGAAAGATATCCTCAGGTTGTTGTAGTCAACACAACTTGTTCAACAGTACTAAAATTATGATGATGTCAGATTTGTCAGTAAAACAAGTCCTCATTAAAAAGTTAAGGACTTGTCACTCCTTATTCTTCTCGGCTCGTTAGAAGAATCCACCAATGAAACTTTATCACAACACTTTTTTGCACACGAATTCCTAATATATGGAACAGCCTGAAAATAACGAGCTTTCAAGGGTTGACGTCAAATACCCTACATTGATGATACCGTATAAGATATGAACCTTCGTGGAGATAAAATATCACAGATGAAACATATAATTAAAGTATTGAGCATCAAACTCCTTGTTTTAGCGAGCAAAATCATTAGGTTTACAGCGTACAAGTTAGCGATTTTCTTCTAAGAAATTTGACAAGAGTTGCAAAAGATTTGTTCGTCCTATGTCACGGAATTTACACATTCATTAGCAACATCAAGGCGCACTTGTCCACTAGTACTAAAACGAGAACATGAACGAGTATATTTCATTGGCAATAGTGATTAGGAATCTAAACCAGATCCTTATCAGCTCGCCACTGATATTATTGGTCATTGCATTTTTCCAAATGATCGGGCAGCGTATCCTAGTATATATAGTCATAAACAATATTGATCGTCTACATCATCACATGGCATGTCATTTGTAGATTACTCATAAGAGACTGATAGGAAATGAGTGGTACAAAGAGTTCTCTAGAGTTTTTAAGCACCAACGGTGACACATGATCCCTTTGAGGTGATTAACACACAAGAGAGCTTCAATCTGAGGGCCTCAAACTCATCATTTTCCCTCTCATCATTTGTCAACCAAATCGCTAAGCATCGGTCCATTAACTCTCTACCACAGGACCAAGACGAGCTTCCTTTCAGAATCCTTGCGCTATCGAACCTTAATATATTGGAGAGGTTTGAATCAGATGGTTGTTCAAGGAATGTTCTCATGGTTGCTTTAATGGCCTCACACCATATAGGACGCCCAATCTTCAAGAAACCCTGCAATGCCTTCACAGGAAGGTTTACACTCCCCAATTCTGATTCATTGCGTCCGCCTTTACCATGATAATCTGATCCTCCTAGCTTCAGTAGACTGTATGTATCGGCCAACTCGCTAAAAACTGTTTAGTAACCATGAAACTTCAGTGACAGCTATATAAATAGATAAATAGACAGAGAAAGACCTTCTAGCTTGCCGTCACTCCTATAAACCTCGACCCCATGAAGTCCAGCATCTTTCAACCTCCTAATAACACTGACGTGATCCTTCAACGCCCACGGATGTGCAAGAACAGCTACACCACCAGTTTTGCATATAAGTTTCACTGCTTCCTCGGACATAGGCTCGCTCCCTCTATGAAAGTAAAATAGTCCATTTTCTAAATTCACCAAACAACTACACTATAAAACACAACCAATGCCGAAAACAAGATCCTAGATCCAACAAGAGGCTTTAACAGAAGCATTCAAATCAACAAGGTGTCATAAAACCAGGTCAAACTAGGGAAGAAGCATAACGTACGTGGCATAAGCAGGTCCATCATCATGTAAATATTTAGTGAAGGCTTGTCTTAAATTCTCCACATATCCAGCTTCAAGAAGCGCTCGAGCAACGTGCATCCTACCAGGAGCAACATCCTTGCCAGCAATCCTGGTGACATGTTCCCATTTGAGAGGTATCTTAAGTTTATTCAATTTGGATACCATTTCTCTCCCACGGACAAAACGCCCATCCCTTATCTTCACCAAGAGATTCTCTAATTCATCATACATTGCTGGACCGGATGTTCCATAGTAGGCAAGTATATGCACGGATTCTTCAGAACCAGACTCTCTGGATTTTGGCAATTACATTATCTGTAAGTACGATTCTGATATTCCAACAATATAAGTCCTATCGCAAATCATACCTGGAACAGAATAATGTGCTGATCTCAATACCGGGAATGATCTTGATACCGAATCTACGTCCTGCTTCTACTGCTTCTGGAATACCAGCCATTGTATCATGATCCGTTAGAGAAAGAACTTTCACCTACATTCAGAAGCAAAAAGCTAATCTCAATGTAACAAAAAAAAAAAAATCCAATTCAGATCTACACTCCTAAGATGTGAAACTAACCCCATTGGTATGAGCCCTTTCGACTAGCTTTGAAGGAGATAGAAACCCATCGCTGCGATTTGAATGAGAGTGAAGCTCAAACACCAATTTCGCTCCGCATCTCAAAGAACCTTTATTGATTGTGACGGCAAATTCATCGAGAGGTGGAGAAGAAGAACCTACGAAGAGCCAATCGCTGACCGACTTAATAGCCTCTGCTTGCTCAGAGGTCATCTTCGTCTTGCTACCGCCACGCTTCTTCTTCTTGTTTCTCTTCTTCTTTTCGTCCGCCATGCTTGGATTTTGGAAGCGCTGTGCCTGTGAGTTGGACGGACCGCCAGAGGAAAACCGGAAAAGAAAACACGTTAAAAAAGGTAGAATCAAATGCTTAAATGATTTTGCCCAAAAAAAATATATTCTCAAGCCCGAAATCTGAATTAAATAAAATTTTATTTAAATAGTATAAATTATTAAAAAACAACTAGAATTTGATCCGCACTTAAAAAGCGCGGGATTATTTTTGAAAAAAACAAATTCTTCTAAATGAATTTTTATATAAGATAATGTATATGTTATACATTTTTCCAGGTGAACCGAACCGTATCAAACTGAAGAAAAAACAAAAATTAAACCAAATTTCATAAATAATCGATCATATCATATATTTTTTGGAACCGAAAAATAGAAACCGAACCGAGAACCAAATGGGTATTTAAAATTTTTAAAATATAAATTATATACCTACAAATATTAATTATATATAATATTTAAATACTAAATATCCTGAAATATTATTTAAGCCAAATTAGGCAAAAAATAAATTACCCGAATATTTTCTATTCAAAATATTGAAGATATTCAAACTATCTGATATTTAAATTGTAGGATAGTTTACATTTAAAATTAAATAAAACATATCGTATGCATAGTTAGAATTTGTAAAATAAATAAACATCTATACTATTAAAATCTCCAACCCATTTAGACCCATTTTATTTTTATATATACAATTAATCATTTAGTTCATGTATAAAAATGTAATATCAAATTTTAATAATTGATTGCATGTAATTAACTAAATCAATGTTCTGTAGTAGAATATTTGACACCAAAGCGTTTTAACTTCCAATTTATGTAAAAATATTAAATATATTAAAGTATATAGAGATTTATTGTTAGAGTAATTATGTAGTAGATTATGGAAAGTAATAAATGAGTTCACTTAAATTATAAAGTATTTATATAGTTAGAGAAATAGTATTTATATAGTTAGAGAAATATAAGGGAAGACCAAAAAATGTTAATTTAATGAAAGGATCCAAACAACTTGTATAAGTAGATTTTTTAGGACTTCTTCTCTTTTAATAGTATTGATAAAATCAAAGAAAAGTTGGGTAATTACAATCATATCTAAGTCTATCCAAATTTGAATCCAAGACCGACCCACAAAAAATTGGATGCCTAATTCTAGAATCTTTTATAAACTAGAGCGCAAGTCACACGATCAATCAGATACTAACATGTAGATTTTTTTAAAAAAAAAAATTAAAAATATGTGTAAAACAAAAAGAAAAACAAAAAAAAAAAATCAAACCCACGTACTATACCTTTTTGAATTTTTTGACAAAAATAAAAAATATTTGTAAAATAAAAAGAAAAAAAATCAAACCAACGTACTATACCTTTTCAGCAAAAAAAGAAGTTAGAAAAATTGATTTAATAATTATTTATATATATTCTTTATCGCAATAAAAAAAATAAACATCTATTTATTTGTATCATACATTTTCAATCACATATTCAATTTTCTCTTATTAAAATTTCATTAACATATCTATAATATACTACAACACAAGTCATTTGACGAATCAAAATTTGACATGTGGCAAAGTTTTGCAAAAAAACACAAAAAGTAAAATTTGAAATTTTCTTTTCATCTCCTATCTGAACCAACAAGAGCAATCGAGATGAACAAATGCCAAAATGTTAGAATTTTATCAAAAAAAAAATTTACATATACTATTAATTGAATTTTAACATGTAGCATTTGTTATATATTTTTTTGAAAATAAAAATTTGAACATAAAAGCAGTTCAGCTATTAATCTAAGTTATTTATTTTTGATATATGTTAAAATCCCCTAATATTTCTCCCACTAACCATGATCTCCTCGTGATCTTTGAACAGTTAAAATTTGTGTATAAAACATTTGACTCAACTATTCTATAAACTCAAATTTATCTCTACATGCATTTTCCTAAAAGTGATGAAATTCAATATTTTTTTTAACATCAGAAGATTGTATCGATCATTCTTCGCCAACTGTATATCTTACTAAACATTTGCACAACAATAGCTTTTGAATATTTGTTCACCGAAGAAGAAAAAAGAAAGCACACATTTTCTATGGGTAAAACTTCTGCAAAGTTGACAGAAGAAAGTTCAAACTCCTTATAACTCAAATCATATTTCTTCATGTTTCTTTTTATGAAGAAACATCCAATCAAAGCGCACCTGAACATCCAATCATAAACACGTGATTGATTTTTTCGATATACAAAGTGCACCTAGCGGTCAAATAAAACCAGCAGTACGAAGAAACAAGAACACGAGGTCCGATGGTTAAGTCTTCTCCCCGCTCCGATACTCTCGCTGGTAATTCGTCGAAGACCGGTAAGTCAAAAGACGAAGAACGAAGAATAGACGACCCCAAATCATTGATGAAGCTACGGTATGTCCGATTTGAAAATTTTATTAGACTTCTAATTTCTCGTAGGTAAGAAACGAAAACGTCTTGTAAACTGCCAAGAAACCTAGAGAACTTAGAATTTAGAAGATAGTCTAGTGTGCTAAGTCGTAAGCAATTTTTGTCTATCTCGATTTGTTGTTCTCTAACCATTCAGGCATAACTCGCAAACTGATCCAATCTCTCGTACAACCGAGAAACGATCGTCACGCATTCAAACGTACTAATTTCCTAAAAGAAAGAAGGAGCTAGAGACGCTGACGTCGTCTTAAAACCGACTCGCTCCTAGAAGTTCTCGTCAATCAGACATACTCCAAGTCATCTCCGATCCACTATGGTCTTTAATCGACCCGGATTGTCGATCATCCCAATCCTTCAAACGAAACTCGTCTTTCTTCTTTCGCCGAACATTTTTCCTCGCATCAAGAAAACACTTTCTAAAATAAGCGGAAAAAATATTCGGACGATGCAACGCCTCGTCAAAATCATCCCAAAAGCAAACGACAATCTAAAAGCCGTCTAAGTGCTAAAGACTGATCCAAACTGTCTAGGAAATAATCTCGAGGAATATACAGCATCTCACGTCGCAATCATGCGGTTAGAAAATCTCTGCGAAACTTCAGAGCGAAACTCGATTATTTGCCGAAGTCATAAAAATCTTCTCAAACTTGATAAAACAAGTATAAGAGTCGAAATCTTTAGGCATCAAAGCATTGATCTCATTTTCCGTCAAACCAAGTGAGTCACAGAATAATGTCAAGAACATTTGCGGCGAAAGAAAGATCAAGAACACAAAGCAGCAATAGGGAACACGTCCTCCCTTCTCGCTGACTGATCCTATTGCTGATCATGTGATTCATTCCGCCCGAGAAACCCGCTAAAACATTTTGCGACTAGATCTCGGTGAAATATTTTTTGGTAAAACGCCACGAGTGACTCCGAAAAAACTATCACCGAAGAATCAAAAACTAAGCGGAAAGGTTTCTCGAAAAATCTGCGGAAACATTGTTAACCCAATGCGTCGCGTCAATTTACTAAATTCATCGCTCGTTGCTTACGTGATAAATCCTTCGTATAGTCAGGATCATGTCATAACGAAGTAACTCTCGAAAGTAAACGTAACAGGTTTTGCGAAAAATACTTTCCTTATAGCAAAAACCAAGCTATACAATCCGGCACTGGGCGGCCAATCTAAACTTTGCCTCCTCCCGACACGATCTGAAAGATCTCATTCTTTAGCCCATCGGTTCACAAGCATCCGCTCTAATTCCTCCCGTTTACATCTGAGAATGAGACCGCCCCGCAAACGACTCCGCACGGGCTCTGCATTGAGCTTCTTAGGATCTGTCTACCTCGAGTAAAAAAAAAAAACAATTTCCTTACAAAGAAAAGTTTAAACGAAACTTTCATCGTATAAATCAAACCTACAATGGAAAAACGTTTTCAATAACCACGGGAATACTTGGCATATCAAGCTCGACAAACGCTACTTGGCTATTTTCCGAGCGCGCTTCACTTCATTGCCAAGTTTACAAACCGACTCGACCTTTTCGATAGCACGAAAGTGTCGTGGTCTAATCCTCTACCAAATACGACACTGGTTGTGCGGCTGAACACAACCTTCACGCCAAGCCAATACGTTCAACGGATAATGCAAACTCGTCAAAGATCGGCTAAGTTCTGTATTCTCGTGATTCACTCTACTCCCGAAGCAAGTTGCCTACAAAATCCGACGTATAAGAAAACACTCGTATCAGAGCTCCTAAAGCCGTACGAATCTCGGAAGGTCAACACTTCACAAAGCACCGTAACGAAAACCCCTTCGTTTCGGGGAAACAACTTACGCGACCTCTCGGTCCTAATTGCTCTAGCACAAATCATAAAACTACCTAACATCCAAATAGGAATGTTAGTTTTAATTTCGAATATACGCAAACGAACCAAAGTGTTCCTGCAAAGCAGGGTTAAGACAAAACCCTCGCAACACTGCGCAAACGTTCCGAGCACGAAACGCGGTATATAAAATAAAAACCAACTTTCGGCACTGCAAGACGTCGCAGACGCCCGAAGATTAGTTTTTCGACACAAATACCTTCCTCGATAAAGTCATTTCTTGGAAGACCTAACAGTCCGTCCGCGACTATAAAATTACGCAAAACTTCTTAACGTTTGTATCCTCCGCGAAGGCCAAAACAACGTAAACATTTATCGCCTAAAAAGTTTGTTGCTGATCACAACAAACTCGCAACAGTCCTAAACAAACTTAAGTTATCTCGCAGAGATAACTCTCGAACACCCGACACAAGGGTAATAGCGCTATAAAAGAAATCCAAACTTTTGGTCAGCAATTCCGGGCAACTTAGAAATTGTTCCCGGTGAGATGCTCGGTTCCAACCAGAAGAATCGTATAAGACGAGAACCTATCGCGGATTCTAAATCGGTATGGAATCAGGTTAAAATCGCAACAGGCAAAATGAAAGCCGACTAGTCATCGCATAGCCTCAATCCGAAAGTAAACCTAGGTCTTGCCCTAAACCCAGCACACTGG